TTTCTTATGGAGTTTGTTTTTTGGTGGCACGTGTCTCTGGTGGGAAATATTGATTCTTTGTTGCCGTTCTGATCGTCGGACATAGTTATCAAAGTAGTTGCCGTCGTCTTTCGGATTAGCAGTCTCATCTTCTTCCATGCATGTATTCGATGTTTGATTATCCTCCATTATATCTTCAGTATCTAAAATTTCGAACATGTTTCTTTCACAATCATTGTTCTCTGTCCTCGAACTTTATCCATTTTCGGGACTCGTGTGATTTTTCATTTTCCATACGTGGGCGGTGCGTTTACTTTAATCTTTAATATTTCTATTATGTCCTTGTGGGTATGAACTTGGTGGATTTCTAGGCAGTCGTTTTTCTGTTCTTCTTCTATCTATTATGATGCTCCATTCGTTTTTATCTTCCAGCTTGTTTGAGATTTTGTCTTGGTGTATGTTATTTGTGTTTTCTTCCTCCACTTGTGTTACTTCTCTACACTGATTTGGAAAATGGCCAACGCGTCCACAAGAGGAACAAAAGCATGTAGTTGATAAGTTATTTTTTGTTTGAAGTTATTTATATAAACAAAGGGAGGGAGAGGTTTTCCCGCTGAAATTTCAATACAGCCTCGCGCATATCTTCGATCCTCTTGAAATTTCATTAGTATGTATATCCATTTTCATAGGCCTGCCAATCGCATTTGCAAGCTTGAACAAAGCAGCTTCTTGAAAATTTTGTTTTCTGAAATTTGGTTTTCATTGAAAAGTAGCAAGGTAGTACTGAAACATATACCACGGACCACCCGCTAACGCCATAAAGTATTCCTCTGGTTCAGTAAATTTAATCACATAAAATCCTTCTCCGAGGTCGGTAGTGACCAGAATATCCTTTGTTTTCCATATTTTATGAAGTCGAAAGTTGATATCCACAATAGATTTTTTAAGACCCATAGTTTGTACAATAAGACTTCTCTTTCATGATTTTCTTATTTCTGTTAATTCATGATCAGAGAAAGAGATGTGTGAGACTTGGTCATCATTCCCTTGTGTGTACTCTTCCTCAACATCCATTGGAGAGTCTTCCTCAATATAGTCAAACCATGTTGGAAAATAAACATGTTTGGATGTTGTCATGATCTTTTGCTTGTATGATATAGATTCTTGTTTAGGAGTCTCAACACTATTATTCAAGAATTCTGATATATTTAAGACCATGCATAGTATGTCCAGAAGGAGGGGAACGGGTACGTAGAGAGGTATGGTATTTTGATGGGGTGGTTTGACTGGGAGTCTGGCGAAGGGGTTGTGGATTGGTGATATGGTTGATAAAAGGATGGTGGTATGGGAGGTGGAGGTGGTTCCGACGGTGGGTTGGAAGCAAGGTGTTGTTTAGATGTTGATGGAGATGGCTCCATCCTAGATAACAAACTGAATCAATAAATCGAATAATTTAGGCTCTTTCCAGTTTTATTTCACTCGATTTGTGTTATTGATACATTTTAATGACGAAGGCATTAGATCGGGTGTTGAGGCGGATGAAGAAGATGGCCCGTTCGAGTTTGCCCCCCTAAATGATGCTTATGCAATGGTTCCGTATTGTGGGGGTCGGAACGAGGAATACGCCAAATTGTGTCGCATGAGGGTGTGAACGATGTTGAGCCCGTAGGTTACTATATCAACGAGACCGAGGGGTTCTCGGGGCTTATGGATGGTTGAGATCGAGTCTTTTTCATCGTTGTAATTGTTTTATTGCCTTGTGTTTTTTGTGATTTCGTAGTAATTGGTTTATGCAATTATCAAAGTTTCGTTGCTATTCAACTTTGGTTATTGTGTGATGACGCACAACTTTAACTTCCAATTAACAAAAATCTATATCGATCACCCTAACTTAACCCTTTTCATAATTGAACTTAAACATTTGTATGCTTAAACATTAGTTGTTGATTCGCTTTTCATGCTTTTAATTCCATATTCAAAATGCGTAAAATAATTTAATGAACCAGGGGCAGTTTTAAATTCTTCACAGTAGTATATTAACTGAAAAATAAATATTAATAAGAACACAAGTATTAATATATAATAAGAACACAAATATTTAAGGGATTATTAGCAAGACTCTCTCATCTCGGAAATGTAGTTAAGAAAACCCCCTTCCAAAAATATTTTGAGAAAACACCCTTGGTTAGTATTCCACCAAATATTACTTTTATAATTCCAAATCTACCCTTAATTATCAATATACTATTTTGAAACCCTAGTTTCTCATTCCCCAATTCACGCCTTTCACCACCGCCAATGCCTCTCCGCCGCCGTCCACCGCCACCGCCGCCAAATCCTCACCGGCCACCACCGTCCCTTCGTCGTTCTACCACTCAACCTCACTTCGTCTTCGCCGCTCAAAACCCTCACAATCACAGTCGCCGACACCACCGCCACGCCTGCACATGACGCCAACAAGTCGTACACTCTCGACATCCCCTCCACCGCCGCCGCCGTTGTAACCGTAGAAATCCCATGGGGAACTATGCGGGGACGATTGGAGACGTTCTCGCAGCTGGTTTGTTTATTGATTCCAATTGTATAAATCAATTATAATGTTCTTATATTTTTGTTCTTTTGTAAAATATAGTTGATTTTGCATTTTTTTGCAGTTTTGATTTGTTATTTTTAGTAGCAGACTTTTGATCGACTATGCTTCATCATAGTCAATTAATAAACCTGATATAAAAAAAATAAAGTAAAGAAAAAAATAAAAAATTAAAAAATAAAGATTTTCCTTAATCGACTATCAAGCACGGTCGATTTAAGACTAATCGACTATGCTTCATAGTCGATTAAAAAAACGGAAAAAAAAAAAGAAATTCGCGAGCGCGTGACCCAGTGATGAGGTGGCGGGCGGGGGTAAAGCTGGAAAACATAATAGCTGAAATTGGAACTAAACTTTTCTCAAATGGTCTAAAATATTTTGGGCCTATCCCCATTAAAAAAAGTAATGGGGGTTATGTCAAAGAGCCCCAATATTTAAATGCTTCACAGTAGAACACAAATATTAATAAGAACATAATACATGAACAAATCTATAAATATATATTAACCGAAAAACAGGAGTATCAACAAACTTAAACAAATAATACTAATATATATTATGGGTGAAGGGCACGAAACATGAAAAATAAAATTACAAACCAAAATACAAAGGCGGAAAAAATTAATACTAATACCGAAAAACTTGCCGACTACATGGAAGTGGAAAAATAATACGGGAAATACTTATATTAATAATACAAAAAATATTAAGAAAAACTAGCCGAGATAATGGAGATTGGAAAATTTGGACTCCCATTGTTAAATGAAGTCTCCAAGTACGACACACGCGTCAAAGTGTCATCTAGTAATCGTTTGTCCCTGTCGATTGGCCCCTTGCAGTCAATCAAAACAAATTTGCGTTATTTCGGGGCCTCGACAATAATTTATCTTTCGGCTTCAAAGATAATGGTCCCCAACCGGGTAAGCCGTTGTCTACGAAGTTTGGACCGCAACACTCGAACCACAATAGCAAATAAATGGGTGGTTATGCCCATTAACTTCATCACAAACCGGTGAAGTACGGAACCTCCAACAATCGGTGCTTAAGCTGCTAATTAAACGTCATAGCTGTTAAAATTTAGAATATTTTTTTTCTTTTTTGTTTTAACCTCCAACAAAATTTGAGTGTTGGTTTTATAATTACTGAAAAATGGGGTGCTGTCTCAAGGTAGGGGTGGGCATTCGGGTCGGGTCGGGTTATTCGGGTCGGGTTATTCGGGTTTTGTGCAAAAAAAAAATTACCCGAACCCGACCCGAGATAACCGGTACCCGGCAACCGGGTACCCGGTTATTTCGGGTCGGGTTCGGGTCGGGTTCGGGTTTTGCTATTTTCCTCTTTTTTTTTTTTTTTTTTTCTTTTTCGAAATTTACTTAAGATATAATATATATACAAACATATATATATATATACATATATATATGTATATGTATATGTCTATATATATATATATGTATATCAGTATATGTATATTATGTATATGTATATGTATATGTCTATATATATATATATATATATATATATATATATCTTTATATATATATATAAAAAAAAAAAAAAAAAAAAAAATTCAACCGGGTACCCGATCGGGTACCCGGGTAGGATTTCTAATACCCGGACCCGACCCGGTTTGGGAGCACCGGGTACTCGAACCCGGGAAAAACCCGGTTACGTCAAAAATTACCCGATCCGGTCAGGAAATACCCGACCGGATCGGGTTAGAATGCCCACCCCTATCTCAAGGAAAGAATGACTGGTTCAAGCAATATTTTCCAAATTGTCAAGTATATAATATAATAATAAAAAGGGTTTACAAGGAGTGGTAAAGTAATTAACCAAATTATCTCACCCAATCAACCCATCTATTCATGAGTTTGGATCATCCGGATTTAATCCCACGTATCCGGATCCAACCAACCAAACCGAAGATCCCATCCATTTTACTAATTCATACAGTATAATTTCAAAATGAAGCACCAATCCCATCCCTCCAACCAAAAGGGGCCTTAAATTAGGATAACACATTTTCTCATTTTTGTTTATTCAACCCTTTTGATTTAATTTCTTACATATATTTTTTTAATTAATTGGTCTAATTATATTAAGTTCTTTTTAATGGCAATCCTCATTTTAAGGTAAACCAACTAACAAAAATGAAAACAAGTGGTTTGGAAATATTTGATCGTCCATCATTTTCGTCTGTAAAAAAGGGAAGTAGTTATGTTATGTCTGAATAATACAGTATAAAAGGGGACGAGCCCCTCTGAACAAAAACACCTCCCCATTGTCTCAATCTTCTAAATATTTTCAAGGGTGTAATAACTCATATGGAAGGGAGATAGAGAGATTTTTCCCCTCTCAATCTCTTTTCCTTCCAAACCCTAATAAAAAAAATTAAACTTTAAAAAAAAAAAAAAGAGATAAACCACCAACCATGGCTTCAGACTTGGAAGATATAAGAAATGAAACAGTTGATCTCGTAAGTATTTTTCCTTTTTTTCGCACGTAAAATCTTTCATATGGGTTTTCGGTCTTTTCATGCACATGCAATCACGTAAAACGTGTTTACGTACGCAGGAAACCATCCCGATTGAGGAAGTGTTCACACAGTTGAAGTGTTCAAAGGAAGGATTGACTTCAGATGAAGGAGCGAAGAGGCTCGAGATTTTCGGGCCGAATAAACTCGAGGAGAAAAAAGAGAGCAAGTTCCTCAAGTTTTTAGGGTTCATGTGGAATCCTCTCTCTTGGGTTATGGAATCTGCTGCAATCATGGCTATTGTTTTGGCCAATGGAGGGGTAATAATAATTAAATCTCATCTTAATTCATTTTTTTGGTTTTTTCCTATTTTTTTTTTAATATTAATATAATGAAATTAAAAATATTTGGTTGAATGAATCTATAGGGGAAGCCACCGGATTGGCAAGATTTCGTCGGTATCATGACGTTGCTCGTTATCAACTCGACGATTAGTTTCATCGAAGAAAACAATGCCGGAAATGCCGCTGCAGCTCTTATGGCTGGCCTTGCTCCCAAGACTAAGGTTCTTTCACATAATCAAATCATTAAAAAAATTAAAAAATATATATATATTTCAATTTGTTGATTTTATTTTTGTATATGTATGTTTGATAATTAGGGTGGTTTAATTATTACAGGTTTTGAGAGATGGAAAGTGGTCTGAGCAGGATGCATCAATCCTAGTACCGGGTGACCTCATCAGCGTGAAGTTGGGTGACATCATCCCCGCCGATGCTCGTCTCTTGGAAGGCGATCCCTTAAAGATCGATCAATCCGCCCTGACCGGAGAGTCCCTTCCGGTAACAAAGCACCCCGGAGACGAGGTTTTCTCCGGCTCCACTTGCAAGCAAGGCGAGCTCGAGGCGGTGGTTATTGCCACCGGGGTCCACACCTTCTTCGGCAAAGCCGCTCATCTCGTCGATAGCACCAACAATGTCGGCCACTTCCAAAAGGTACATCAATTAATATTTTATATAGAGATTTGTTATTTTTCAATAGTGCAATATGAGAGTGAATCTAATACACATCTTGTTCGATTTCGATTAGGTTTTGACTTCGATCGGGAACTTCTGCATCTGCTCGATCGCGGTGGGAATGCTGATCGAGGTGGTTGTGATGTACCCGATCCAGCACCGAAAGTACAGAGAAGGGATCGACAATCTGCTAGTGCTCCTCATCGGCGGTATCCCGATCGCTATGCCGACAGTGCTGTCGGTGACAATGGCGATCGGGTCCCACCGCCTGTCGCAGCAAGGCGCCATCACCAAGAGGATGACAGCCATCGAGGAAATGGCGGGAATGGACGTGCTTTGCAGCGACAAAACCGGTACCCTCACACTCAACAAGCTCACAGTCGACAAGTCCCTCGTCGAGGTTTTCCCCCAGAACGCAGACCAGGACACCGTTTTGCTTCTCGCCGCACGCGCTTCGAGGGTCGAGAATCAAGATGCCATCGATGCTTCCATCGTCAACATGCTCGATGACCCCAAGGAGGTATATATATATATCAAGATTTGAAATTGATGTTTCATTTTCCTAATTTGATCTAATCTTTGTGTGTGTGTGTGTTTGTGTGTGTGTGTTTTAGGCAAGAGCAGGAATTACGGAAGTGCATTTCTTGCCGTTTAATCCGGTGGATAAGCGTACCGCAATTACATATTACGACACCGATGGAAACTGGCATAGGTGCAGCAAGGGTGCTCCTGAGCAAGTACGAACACAAATCACATCCTTACAAAAATTGTTTCTTTCATCATACAATTTTATTAGTTTGCTAAGTTTTCTTGTAATTTGATAGATCATTGAACTATGTGAGCTCAAAGGGGAAGTCTTGAAGAGGGCTCACGAGATAATCGACAACTTTGCAAACCGCGGTCTTCGTTCTCTTGGCGTCGCTCGACAGGTTTGTGTTATTATACGTATCTATAGATATACATACATATATATATATATATATATATATATCGTTCGAAGTGTATTCTTTTATGAATATGTGTAATTTCTTCTTTTTTTTTTGTAGACGGTTTCGGAGAAAACGAAAGAGAGCGCCGGAGACTCGTGGGAGTTTGTGGGTTTATTGCCTTTGTTCGACCCTCCGAGGCACGACAGTGCGGAGACCATAAGGAAAGCCCTAGACCTAGGTGTGAACGTGAAGATGATCACCGGTGATCAATTAGCCATCGGCAAAGAAACCGGACGAAGGCTCGGTATGGGAACCAACATGTACCCGTCGTCGTCACTCCTCGGCCAGAGCAAGGACGAGTCCATCTCTTCAATCCCCATCGACGAACTCATCGAAAAAGCCGATGGTTTCGCCGGAGTCTTCCCGGGTATATTTAAAAAAATATATACATCATAAAAATTAAAATGCACTTCACTAAATTCGAACCGAATCAAAACTAATCGAGAAAAAAAAATGATTTGTTTCTAGAGCACAAATACGAGATTGTGAGGAAGCTTCAAGAGCTAAAGCACATCTGCGGTATGACCGGAGATGGTGTGAACGACGCACCGGCTTTGAAAAAGGCCGACATAGGCATAGCAGTGGCCGATGCAACCGATGCCGCTAGGGGCGCGTCGGACATAGTGTTGACCGAGCCGGGGCTAAGTGTGATCATAAGCGCGGTCCTTACGAGCCGAGCCATCTTCCAGAGGATGAAGAACTACACCATCTACGCGGTCTCGATCACCATCCGTATAGTCATGGGATTCATGCTCATCGCGCTTATCTGGAAGTTCGACTTCTCGCCGTTCATGGTTTTGATTATCGCCATTCTCAACGATGGCACAATCATGACGATATCAAAGGATAGGGTTAAGCCGTCACCGGTCCCCGATTCTTGGAAGCTCAATGAGATTTTTGCTACCGGGATTGTGCTCGGAACATACATGGCTCTCATGACTGTCATTTTCTTCTATCTTGCCTCTGATACCGACTTCTTCTCCGTAAGATTTTTTTCTCTCCCGAAAATACCCCTCAAAATTTTGCTTCCTATGGTTAGTAAAAATACATTAATTTGTTATTGGTTATATATATAGGATACATTCAATGTGAAATCAATGAGGGGAAACCCTAATGAGCTAACGGCTGCACTCTACCTACAAGTGAGCATTATCAGTCAAGCATTGATCTTCGTGACGAGATCGAGAAGCTGGTCGTTCGTCGAACGACCAGGTTTCTTGCTCTTGGGAGCTTTCTTGATTGCCCAATTGGTGAGTTTTATTTATAAGAAGCAAATCAAAACTACCAAAATAAATAAATAAAAATCATCGAAATTCGATTCTTGATTCTAATAACTAATAGAGCAATGGAATATTATATTTCAGTTGGCAACGGTGATAGCGGTGTATGCAAAGTGGGAATTCGCAAGAATCAGCGGCATCGGGTGGGGATGGGCCGGAGTTATCTGGATCTTCAGCATCGTTACGTACTTCCCGCTCGACGTTCTCAAGTTCATAATTCGCTTCGCTTTGAGTGGCAAAGCTTGGGATTCAATGATTCAGAACAAGGCACGTACAGCTAAACCTCTAAATTAATAGGGCCAGCCAATTTTTTATTAATTTAACGAAATATTTTTTCTATAAATTAATAGGACCAGACAATTTTTTATTAATTTAACGAAATATTTTTTCTATAAATTAATAGGACCAGCCAATTTTTTATTAATTTAACGAAATATTTTTTTAGCACGTTGCTTTCAAGTTGGGATCGAGAAAACATATTATTTAAACTAGAGACAAAGAAAAACAAAATTAAAGTTACTATTGAAATATTCATTTTTGTTGAATATAATGTTTGTTTAGACTGCTTTCACTACGAAGAAGGATTACGGTAAGGGCGAGAGAGAAGCGCAGTGGGCCGTAGCTCAACGAACCCTACACGGATTATCGACTACAGAAAATGCGGCCCTTTACAACGACAAGAACTACCGGGAATTATCCGAGATCGCTGAACAAGCAAAAAGAAGAGCTGAAGTTGCAAGGTATATATATTATTTTACATTACATTATTCTTTTCGAAAAAAAAATGATATTTGATGAAAAAATTTAATCATAGTTTTGATATTCTTAATTAAAAGAAACATGTTGCAGGCTGAGGGAGCTCCACACACTTAAGGGACACGTGGAGTCGGTGGTGAAGCTGAAAGGATTGGATATTGATACAATCCAGCAACATTACACTGTGTAACATTCATTACAAGTGAAGATTGACAGACAATTGTTTTTTATTTGGTTTGTAATACTTCTATGTTGATGAATAATTAATCCTGGGAGAAGGGATATGTATTTTTGCATAGAAGTTTAATATAAAGAAATTATTAATACATGTCCCATTTTATATTTTCTTTTTGAAGCCTTGTTTTTTGTCCTTGTTCAGCAATTTAAAGGAGAAAAATAAATATAAAACATGCATCTTGGTGACTGGTTCATCAGCAATTTAATTAAGGAGAAACATAAATAAATGAATAAAAGATTTTGTTTATAACTGACAGAAACGTGATGCTTAATTTATAAAGTTGCATGTGATGCAAGAAGTTGTCAGCGTTTAGCCCTTCACGATTCTCCGAGTCTCGACTGGGGGTGAAAATCGGATGGAATGGATTGTAAATGACATTTTTGGAAAATTTTCAGTTTTTTTCGAAAGTAAAAAATGAGTTCTAATTTCCGTTTCAAAAAACCGGAATGCAAAAATTCATTTCAATTTCGGAATGCCTCGGAATCGCCGGAATTTAAAAAATATCGGTAATTACATTAGTTTATAATCTCTTGTTCCAAATTCGGATGTAAGAAAAAAATTCACAACACTTTTCTATCTTTTTAATTTTTTGCAGGGAACACTTTTCTATCTTGATTTTTAATTTTTTTTGCAGGGAAATGCAAGAAAATTCAAAAGAGAGTTCGGCAAAACGATATAAATAAAAATACACATGTAGGACCAACAAATTGAAACATAGATTTTCTTATAAAAGATCCAATATAAAGTTTCTGATACTAATTAATCTTTTCTAATGTTTTAATTTACTTCACTCTCCGGTATTTATATTTTTCATATAAAATATAACATAAGTTATATTATGGAATTACAAAATATATCATAAAATTATAATATATATTTTGAAAAATCATAGATATATTTTGAACTAAAATCGGTCGGAAATCGCAATTTTCCTATAATTTTGTATATCATCCAATTCCGTTCCAAATAAATTCGGAAGAATGGGATATCAGAATGCAAAATACGGTTCCAAATTCGAATATTTTCGGATCGAAATTGGCAGATCGAAATCTCCATTCTGGTTTCCACCCCTAGTCTCGACATACAAAGAAGGGTTCTAAGACAATTTTTTTATAACATTATCGAGAAATATATGTTATATCCCTAAGTGTTATATATGCATATACCTTTTGTATGTGGGTTTTCGTCGGAAATATTTATGATACCTAAGAGATCGTACTAATTAGTATCAGAGTAATGTTACGATAGCACAAAAGCTTCGTTAGCAAGGCTGTGATAATATCAAAGTTATGATGGAGCAAAAGTGAGATCACATCAACATATTGCGAAATTATGTCGTCCGAGAGAAAACAGTTGAAGTTAGGGGTGAAAGTCGAATGGATCGGAATTAGCCTTTTCGGAAAATTTCCAAAAAAAATCGAAACTACAAAATCAGTTCCAATTCCAATTTCCAAATTTTCGAAATCTAAAAATTCATTCCAATTCCAAAAGGCCTGGAAATTTCAGAATTTCGGAAATTAAATAAGTTTTAAAATTTCAAAATTTAGTGAAAATTTTCTGAAAATTTCATAATTTTCCAAAAATAATTCATCCACGTCGATAAAAATAAAACTAATAACTACTAAATTTCATTTCAATAAAATAAATAAAAATAAACCACATCATAATTTCTAATAAAACTTCTAACAACAATTCAATATGTCAAAATCCTAAAACAAAAGTTAAATCAAATTACTATTTCAGAAAAAAAAAAATAAGTATTATATAGTATATATTATTTATAGGTGTATTTTTTGGAAGAAAATCGGATTTCTTCCGAATTAATTTAGAAAATTAAATCGGATTCGAAATCAAAATCAAAAAAATTGTTCAAAAACCGAAAATTTTTGGATCGGAATCGACGGAAATTAGAACCTCCGTTCCAACTTGCACCCCTAGTTGGAGCAATTAGAAAAATCCGTAGAAAAGATACAAATTAGTGTCCAAAAATTACTCGAACAAAGTCAAGAACGACGTCAACGACAACACAAAAGCCAAAGGCGGTCAATTCCCCTTATACTTATTTATACAGACAGTACAGTCATGTGAAATATGCATGCTAATTTTATATATCCACGGAGAAAACAATGGTTGAAGTTGACCAAATAACATAAAATTGAAATTTTAGCGACTATTTTTCTTTTGATTGTTATTATTATTATTCTCTTCTAACTGCTACAATTTTGATAATTCATTTATATATCCATTTGATTTGACTCGTGGTTTAGATAAGAATTGTGGAAGTCAAGGTATTTTTGTTTTCTTTGATTTTATTTTATCATTGTGTTGAAAAGTAGTTGCCGACAGTTCATGATATCACAACACAATCTTCTACTAATGATGTCTCGCCAAATATTACCTCAAAATTGGAGCAAATGAGATTATGTTATTTTATATAAATTTAAATTTGCAGTTTGTCATATATGATTAGCATAGTATAGTTTACGTTTCTCTTATAATTTGCAAGTTATATATTAGGGCATATTACAAATAAGCCCATCAGTGGGAACTTATTCATAAAGAGATCCAGACAATATTCTCCTTTACCAATAAGTCCACACATGGTCCAGATTTATGTAAAGGACTAAAATAACCCCTCTTACTTTTATATGCTCCAATTTCATCCTTAACTTAATTTAACTTCAATTTGACCCCAAATTTCACAAATTATTCAATTTTGACCCAAAACTTTTTTTTTTCACAATTTTTTTTTTCAAAAACTTTTTTTTTCCGCCGGATTCCGGCGTTGACCGGCGGTCAACGCCGGTCTCCGGCGTTGACTTTTTTTTTTTTTTTTTTTTTTTCTTCCGGATTTTTTTTTTTCGGATTCCGGCGTTGACCGGCGGTCAACGCCGGTCTCCGGCGTTGACTTTTAATTTTTTTTTTTTTCTTTTATTTTTTTATTTTTTTTTTTTTTTCTTCCGGATTTTTTTTCCGGATTCCGGCGTTGACCGGCGGTAAACACCGGTCTCCGGCGTTGACTTTTTTTTATTTTTTTATTTTATTTTTATTTTATTTTTTTTTTCTGTAACTTTTTTTTTCCGTTTAAACAACAATATTGCTTTGAATGACAGTAATATTAACTATATTACTGTTAAACACAGTAAAAATAACTAAACTATAGTTTAACACAGTGATATTGCTATATTAATCTCTAGCACATTAATATTAACACAACAAAATTCATTATTATTGTATAATAAAGTAATATTACTATGTTGTCCGTTCAACAAATGTAAACAAAATAAAAAAAACCAAAAGAATTAATATTACTGTGAGTGACAGTAATATTACTATAGCAACAGTAATATTACTATAGTAGACAGTAATATTACTATAGCAACAGTAATATTACAATAGTAGACAGTAATATTATTACGTTACTCCGTGAATAACTCAAACAAACAAAATATCCAAACAAAAGAATAATATTGATGTGGTTGACAGGAATATTACTATAACAAACAGTAATATTACCGTCAACCACAGTAATATTACCGTCAACCACAGTAATATTATTGTGTTTACAGTAATATTACAATAATAGACAGTAATATTAATACAAACACCACAAAAAAATAATAATATTGATGTTGTTGACAGTAATATTATTGTGTTTACAGTTATTTTACTGTCAACGACAGTAATATAATTACGTTGACTTGTCAACAAATCAAAAAAAAATAAAAAAAAATAATAATAAATAAAAAAATATAATATTGCATTAATTTATGTCAACGGCAACACAATTACATAAATGTAATGTCAACGGTAGTACAATTACGTTAATTAACTATCATTGACAGTATAATTACGTTAATTTACTGTCAGTGACAGCACAATTACAGTCAACGTTTAGCGGCGGACGTGGAAAAACAAAACAAACCAAACAAAACAAAACAAAACAAAAAACTTAAAAAAACACTAAAAAAAGAGACCGCCGGAAACCGGCGAAAAAATCCGGAAGAAAAGAAAAGAAAAAAAAAAGAAAAAAGCAAAAAAAAAAAAAAAAAAAAAAAAAAAAGTCAACGCCGGAGACCGGCGTTGACCGCCGGTCAACGCTGGAAACCGGCGAAAAAATCCGGAAGAAAGAAAAAAAAAAAAAAAAAAAAAAAATTTAAAAAAGTCAACGCCGGAGACCGGCGTTGACCGCCGGTCAACGCCGGAATCCGGCGGCAAAAAAAAAGTTTTTGAAAAAAAAAATATTTTTTGAAAAAAAAAAAAATTTGGGTCAAAATTTAATAATTTGTGAAATTTGGGGTCAAATTGAGATTAAATTAAGTTAAGGATGAAATTGGAGCATATTAAATTATACTCCAAAAAAAAGTCAAAATTGAATTTTTGTGGTCAAAATTGAACTTTTATGGACAAAATTGATTAATTTGGATTACAATTAAGAATTGGGTATAAATGATTGAGGGTAATATTGGGATATACATGAATGTTTCCTTTAGTTATAATAAATATTAAAGGGATGGGCTTATTGGTAAAAGAGATATGTCCCCTAAACCTAAAATAATAAACATGCTTGGTTGGGGACTTTTGCATAAAAATCCCTATATATTATGCTAGGGTGTAGATTTATTTATGAGTACACTTACAGTTAGTTGGTTGCACACAAGGGCTTACCTATGACTTATGAGTCTGTTTGGGGTGGCCCCCGCTCCCCTAAAAATTAGTATTTTTAACTAGTTTTATTTTTTTTATTTTTTATTCTTATTTATTATTTATTTATTAATTAATAAACTTTCACTCCTTAAACTTTTAATTTCATACAATTTAGTCCATAAAAACAAAAAAAAAATCTTCTCTTAACTTACTCCATATTCTAGTCCCCAAGAAAAAATTCCATGAATCCGTCCTTGGCTGCAGATTTCTTCATTATAAAGAAAAAAGAAGATAGCAACAGGGCATTGAATTGTATTCAGGTGTATGATTCTTTTACATGGATTTAGATATTGTTGAAGTTTTTTTCCAATAATTGTTAACAATTCGACAATCATTGATATGGACGAAAAATTTCGATTACAATCTTAAAAATTACTTAAAAAAATAATATTTAACTATAACAAATGGTAAAACAAAAGGTATGATATATTAATATATAACAACCGCATGGTCGGTTCTGACTATGGGTGAGAGAGGCGGTCGCCTCGGGTCCCCGAATTTTAGAAAAAAATAGGGGCCCTCAAATAATGTTTTATACTCTTTATATATATACTAGTCATAATATTAAATGATAATAAAAATTTATAAATAGTTAAACAATTTGAAGAACCATAGGTCCATAACTATATTATTTTAAATAGTTTAAGTATTTGTTGGAAATATTTACCTTTATTCTAGCCTTTAATGTGAATGAAATGTCTTAGACCAATTACAGTTAGTTAGATATTGATGGAACTGTAGTAATAGTAATTTTTTTGCAAACATTTTATTAATTATATTAACATTACATTTTATTATATAACAAAATAGTTTTAAAAAATGACAATATAATTAATAACCTAATAATAGCACAACATTATTATTATTATTATTATTATTATTATTATTATTATTATTATTATTATTATTATTATTATTATTATTATTATTATTATTATTATTATTATTATTATAATATGGTGAGAGTGGTGATGGAAAAAATGGAAGAAAGAGATTGATCGGTTGGACGAGAAACGGGTTGGGGTTGGGGTCGGGGTCGGGGTCGGGTGAGCCCCGGGGGAGCCGCCCCCATCCACAGGAGATGCCCTAAGCTAAGCTACTAATTACTTACTTTATATTCATAATCAGATATATGGTTTTACTAACTATATTCTTAACTGGTTTATTGCTCGTTTTCCCTTAAGAGATGTGAACACAAAACGATTCTTTATCCAAAAAAGAAAAGAAAAACAGAAAAAATAAAAAGCCGATTGGCTTGGCGTTTGCGTGTGATTTCAGAACTGTTAATTAACAAAGCATATTTAAGTAATTATTGTTAATTAAGTAGTTGATGTTAATGTTAATGAGGTGTTGATTACAGGCAATTTCGCCCGATTAATGAATAGCTTCTAATTTAGTATTAATAAATGAGAGAATTGAATTTTGCACCCCACAAATGGCATGGATTGGCGTTTTCCACCATTAAATTTTGGAATTGGCAAAATGCACCCTACAACTATTTCTTCTGATATTTTGAAAGTTTCAGTATTTTTAACAAAAGTTATGATAATTCAATTAGCACAAACAAAAGTTTTAAAACAACATAAAAAGTGAGTTTACAACCAATCAATTAATCAATTATCGAGATTTATATAAAATAGAACAATGACATAAAATATGTAATATAAATACTAATGTTAACAATATACATGCTCTTTAAAGCATAAATTACAATCTTTTGAATTATTAAAAAAAAAATATAATTGTATCAAAAAAACAATTACTTCATATATAATTTCAATTTTGATGCGAAAAACTAACAAAAAAATCATTTTTCTTCCTTTATGTTTCATTCATAATATTATTAAATAATAATTTAAAAATATAAAGTAAAAAAAACACCACAAGAAAAAATATATTTAGATGCTAAAATATTGCGATATATTGATCTTTTGGTTAAAATATCACAAGAGATAGGTGTGTGGTGCATTTGGCCATGAGATATGCAATTTGAGGGTCCAATATGCCAATTTTAAAATATAAGGGAGTAAAGTGCCAATCCATGTTATTTGCAGGGTGCAAAATGCAATTCACCGTTAATAAATACAAGAATTCCATCAGATAACAAACTTCACCATCCTAATTGCAAATTCGGGAGGCTAAAAACAAAATAAATAAATAAATAAAATCACCACCCTCCTCCGCCATGGCGTCGCCGGCGACGGAAAATCCGCCACCCACCTACACAGACACAGTAGAAGAAATCACCAGAATCTACAAGCAACTGCCGCCGAGACCCTCAATTGAAGAGGTGGAGGCCGCCATTTCCGTACTCCAAACCGTCGAAACCGAACAAAACCTTCAGCTAGATGAGATATCGAAGCAGCAAACCCCGCCGGACGTTCCACCGGAACTGTTCTCCGTTCTGCAGGAAGTGAAGAGAACCATGGTCTCGTTCCGCAGCCACGACCAGCGGAAAGAGGCGGCGCAGCTGGTCGAGACCGACAGAATATTCCAGGTGTTTGATGGGCTCATTCAGAAGGCTTCTTCTCTGGTTTCCGGTAAACCCCTGTCGGAGATAGTCCCCGTTGATTGTGATGTTGGAACAGAGATCGTGATCAGCGAGAAGAAGAGTGAAGATTGTGCTAAAATTGGTGCTGATTTGAAGGGGGTTGGTCCCGCAAGTTCGTCTTCGAAACTCGTCGGTTCGACCTCAGGTTCGCATAATTGCATCTATATCGTAGCTCTTATGTTTGAAATTTAGGCCCCGTTTGGTTGTCATGATAAGATTAAATAATCTAATGAAACCTCGGATGATCCAGTAAAAAACATTCCTAGAAGATAAGCCATGATAAGTCATAATATTTGCGGGTCGACCTGACAAGTTATTAGGGATACCAAACATCAAATAAAGTGCAATTGTTTAGTTAATCATGGTTAATCTCTCCAACCAAACGAGGTCTTAAAGTATAAAATTGTTGGGGGTAGTCGTTTGAAATGTCAGTTGCCTATTTTGATGATCGAAAGTGGTTTGAATTTGAAATTTGGATTTGATTCGAAATGGTTGAGGTTATGGTTCGTAGTTGAATCTCGTGGAAAAAGAGAACGTAAAATATTGGACAGCTATGTAATAACATTACTGTGTTTTAATTTTTCGGTTGAAGCTTTTGATTGTATAGTTTTATATTGATATGTTACGTGCAAGTCTAGAATACCGTTTAGTTGGATCATGGTCTCGGAAATAGTTGTGAAATATAATTTAACCTAAACCGATGCCTTCTATTAGCCATCCTAATGTATGTGACTACAATGATTATAATTTACGATGCATGAAAACTTGTGTACTAGAAGAGTTCACTTAAGGCCTCGTTTGGTTGGGGAGATTAGCCACGATTAACTAAATAACTGGACTTTCTTTGATGTTTGGTAAACCAATAACTTCTCGGGTCGACCCGTAAGTATTATCATGCCTTATCAATCTTGTAGGGCGATTTTCTGTTGGACCTTTCGTGGTCCAATAAAATAATAGGGTTTTTTATTAGATTATTTAATATTTAATCTTATCTTGGTTAGTCCTATCTTGGCAACCAAACTAGGCCTTTAGAGTTGATTTCAGTTTCTTGATTGTGTTTCAATTGCTTTTCCAGGGGTAAAAGATGAAGAAAAATTGAATCTGATGAAAGTGGCTGCATTGATCGAAAGCTCCGCCAAAACGGGGGCGACTATTTTAGATCTTCGAGGCAAGCTAATGGATAAAGTCGAATGGCTTCCATTATCTCTCGGAAAGCTAACAACTTTATCCGAGTTATATTTATCGGAAAATCGGATAATGGCTCTTCCGCCTTCAATAGGCAGCCTCATTACCTTAACGAAGCTCGATATCCGTTCGAACCAGATCATAAATCTTCCACCTTCGTTCGGCGAACTGCAAAATTTAACCGACTTGGATCTTTCCGCAAACCTATTGAAATCACTGCCGGAATCTTTTGCAAACTTGATAAATTTAATCAATCTTGATTTAAGTACGAATCGGTTCTCGAAGTTGCCTAGTGCAGTTGGATATCTAATTTCTTTGCAGAGATTGAACGTGGAGACGAATAATCTCGAAGAACTTTTTAACGGGATCGGATTTTGCTCGTCGCTTTTAGAACTGAGGTTGGATTTCAATCAGCTGAAGAATCTTCCGGAATCAATAGGGAAGCTCGAGTGTTTGGAGATTCTCACTTTGCATTATAATAGGGTTAAAAAATTGCCCTCTCCGATTGGGAATCTTTTGAAATTGAGGGAGCTCGACGTTAGCTTTAACGAACTCGAGATTATACCGGAAACACTTTGCTCCGCGGTGAATCTTGTGAAATTGAATTTGGGGAAGAATTTCGCCGACTTGAGAATGTTGCCACAGTCGATTGGGAATCTTGTGATGCTTGAGGATCTTGATATTAGTTATAATCAGATAAAAAATTTGCCCGATTCGTTTGGGTCGCTGTCGAAATTAAGACACTTTCGCGCCGATCAAACTCCTTTGGAAGTGCCACCTAAGGAAATTACGAAATTGGGTGCTCAGGTTTGTTTACTATATTACTAAATTGCATAATTGTTTTTATTTTATTTACTTATTTATTTATTATTATTATTTTTTTTGACAGGATGTGGTGAAGTATATGGTTGATTTTGTTGCGGAGGAGGGGAAATTTCGACTGGCGAAGAGGAAAAAAGGGTTCTGTTCTTATATATGCCCTCTGCTCTGTTTCGGCATTGGGAACGAATAACTTTTCCACGAGGTAAGAAACGTAAAAAGTAATAAAGATTATCCCTGTGTGTGTATATGTGTGAATTTGAGGGTCGACGGTGATGGATTCGATACCTTGAAAACGATGGTAATGAACATTTAATTTAAGCATCTTTTTTAATATGTATAATTTTGTGATTTATTACTTTGGAAGAGATTGTTTGTGTTGTAGTTGATTTTACTGTACAGAAGAGTGAATGTAGACATACTATTTCATTTGTTTGGTGTGAATCGAAATGGTTGAGTATAGTTTCGATCTGGTAAGAACTCGTTTAATTTGTAACTTTTTTTGCTGGCAACTCGATCGATCAGTCCTTCCACCTTCATTTTGGTTTCATGAATCAAGTTTTTGGGTAACAACGAGGCAAACACATAGATTCAATTCAAAATAATAAATGCAAGTATCTCAAAAGTCATTTTTTCGAATTATAAGCAGTGTTGTTGCTTCAGTAGAAACCGAAGACTTAAAAAAGCTGAGGAATCAAAAGAGGGTTTTAATTTAGTCGATCGAAACATGGGAGTCAAATACGCAGAATGCAATAAACTCCATGAGCATATGGGCTGGAAGACTGACCGTTGCCAGGAGTACGAGGGGTACAGTTTCTATTGCCAGATCTGCGGATGCCACCAGAAATTCCATCGGAAAGTGGAGGCAGTGTCGCCAAAGCCGGTCGTCAACTACAAAACGAAGGTGGTGTACACAAACTGTAACAAGATTCATGATTTTAGGTTCCAGACTACGGTCGATGGGTGCCAAGAGTTCACCCCCAACGGCAAAGAGGGCTCTTCCGACAACGCGCTAACCTGTGGTGTGTGTGGCTGCCACAAGGTCTTTCATAGGAACGAGGTTACGAAAGTAGTACCTTAAGCATCGTTTGATGGGGTCTTCATTGATGATTTAATTCTTTGTTTTCTCGTGCACTTCGTTCCCTGTTTTTAGTAATCTTTTAAAATTGGAACGCTAATTACCAACCATCCCCGCGACAAAAAAAAAAAAAAAAAAAAAAAATTAAAGAAAAAAAGGATTAAAAACAAAAAATCGCACATTCAACAGCGCAAGAAATCACGTTACAAATGCTCTTCAAGCTTGACGCCATATGCACCGAGTCTCGTTTCGTTGTACAGCTCGATGAATGATATATAATGTGCAATTTAATGAGTGAAAATTGGGATATTCCGTCGAGTACAAAGAATATAATGATTGTGTTGCTTATTAGAGAAGTGAGATTTTTGTTCTTGCTCACTTGAAGATATAGTACGAGTACACAAAATCTCGATAGTGCTATGGTAATGTGATTGTCTTATCATACAAAAATATAATTAATAAATAAAATGTATTAAAATCACTAGTTTATTCTCATTGTTTCCTAGTTCTTGAAAATGAATGTTGTAAAAGTTTATGGTGTAAAAATTGAGTATTTTTAACATAATATATGAGTACATTTGTGAAAATTAATTGAAAAATTGCGGTGCATTTTTCAAGTTATATGAGATTTGATAGCGAATTTATAAGATTGTTAGAAAATTAGAGAATGAACTTATGAAAATCTGTGAATGTTTTAAGAATACTTAAAGAAATTGGTGAAAATTATTAGCGTATCTTTATATATATATATTACGTATCTTTATTAATCTTTAATTCTTATTTATTAGGTTACCTTGTGTATTAGGTTTCCTTGTATATTAGGTTTCCTTGTATATTAGGTTATCTTGTGTAGTAGGTTAGGGTTTCCTACATGTAACTATATATATGAGTAATATACGTAAGAGATATCATTCTCTCTTTTCTCCAAAATATATTTCTCCTATATGGTATCAGACACTAGGTTAACCTAGCCGTTTTTTTTTCTTTTTCTGCATAGCCGTGCCCTACTCCCTTCTTCTCCATGGCCGGCGAATCTTCATCTTCTTCTCCCTCCACCGCCCCTCTCAATCCTTTTCACCTTGCTCATGCCATCTCTAATATCAAATCCCTTATCCCCGTTACTCTAGATCTAAAAAATCCTAATTATCAAAAGTGGAGCCACTTTTTCACGATTACCGTCGGCCGTTTCTGCCTCTCCGATCTTCTCCATGGCAAACCCCGACCGGATTCGATTTCCGTCGACGAATGGCAGCGAGCCGACTATCTCCTCCAATCTTGGATCTACGGCACCATCTCCGACGATCTATCCAGCATGGTTCTCTCAAAAACCTCAACCGCCAGTGATCTATGGAACGCCATCTCTTCTCTCTTCACCGATAACAAAGACTATCGAGCCATTCAACTTGAAGAAAAATTCAAGTCCCTCAAGAAAGGCGCTCTCTCCATTCACGATTATTGTCAAATAATCAAGACCACGGCGGACAGCTTGGCCGATGTCGGAAATCCAATCTCCGACAAACAACTCGTTCTACAAACCCTACACGACCTTCCGAAAAATTACGGGACCGTCGCCAATCTCATCTCTTTTCAAAATCCCCTTCCCACCTTTCTACAGACTCGTTCGCTCCTTCAGATGGAAGAAACAAGAATTTCTGAACCGGAACAGACCGCTACTGTTTTCTACGCCTCCAACGCGAACTGTCCATCCAACAGTTGCAACAGTTCCTGCAACAGTTCCCGTGGAGGTAGTTCTTCGCGCTATCAGCGCGGGGGTGGCCGATCCAACCGTCGCGGAGGTCGCAGCACTAACCGTCACCCCATGCAGCACTACGGCTATCATAGTGCTCATGGCGCACCTCAACTTTGGCGCGCACCTTACCGACAACAGTCAATTCTGGGATCCGCTCAAAATACATCGGGCCACCCAGCGGCCCAAGCCTACTTTACTGGGCCACCTGAACCCTACACCGGTCACTCGGCTCCTACTCAGGCTCATCCGCAGCAGCAACCGTGCCACAGCTCCAGCAGTTCCATCAACAGTTGCAACAGTTCCTGCAACAGTGCCAGCGTGGCGGATCTCGCAAACCGTTTGAATACGGTGACACTTCAGCAGCCTACCGAGTCACAGTGGTTCATGGACAGCGGGGCGACCTCTCATATGGCACCACACTCAGGTAATTTCAATTTTGTTTTTAATCCTAGCAGTAAATTCCCCAAACATGTCGTCGTCGGTAATGGTTCCACCCTCCCCATAACCCACATAGGCCACACAATTCTTCCCACCACTCCTTTCCGCCTCACAAATGTCTATGTCACACCCAATATCGTCAAACACCTTATATCTGTTAGAAAGTTCACCCGTGATAACTCATGTTCGGTTGAATTTGATCCATTTGGTTTTTCTGTGAAGGATCTTCGGAGTCGAGTCGAGATTTTCAAGTGCAATAGCTCCGGTGACCTATATCCGTTTAGCGTCCCTCCCCCCACCTCACCTCCTGCTGCTTTCCTCACTGTCGCAACACCTTCGTCTCGCACTCTTTGGCATCGGCGTCTAGGCCATCCCGGCAAACACGTCATGTCTCGTTTATTTTCTAGCACTTTTCTTTCCCATAATAAAGACCCTAGGGAGTCTCTCTGTAATGCCTGTCAATTAGGCAAGCATTTTCGTATACCATTTTTTTCTCAAAAATCTACTACTGTTGCTCCATTTCAAATTATTCATGCTGATTTATGGACTTCTCCTGTTTCTAGTTTTACGGGTTTCAAATATTATCTTGTGTTAGTTGATGATTTTACCCATTATTTATGGACTTTTCCCCTTCGAAATAAATCTGATGTTTTTACAACCTTTGTCAATTTTCATACACTCCTCAAAACCAATTCCAACATCCCCTGAAAGCCTTACAAAGTGATAATGGTCGTGAATTAAAAAATGCGGATTTTCAAAACTACTTCACTAAACACGGCATCCTAAATCGTTTTTCATGTCCCCACACCTCCCCTCAAAATGGACACGCAGAACGAATGATCCGCACTATAACTAACATGATTCGATCCCTCATCTTTCAAGCCCATCTTCCTCCTACTTATTGGGTCGAAGCCCTTCATATGGCCACACACCTACTCAATATCTTACCTACCAAAACCACACAAAACCGGACTCCTCACGAAGCCCTTTACCTCATCAAACCTACATACTCTCATCTTCGAGTATTCGGCTGTCTCTTTTATCCCAACCTCACCGCCACCACACCACATAAACTCGCCCCCCGTTCTACTCCTTGTGTCTATCTCGGTCACCCTTCCTCTCACAAAGGCTATCGTTGCCTTGATAGGTCCACTGGCCGAATCATAATTTCTCGTCATGTTATCTTCGACGAAACTAACTTTCCTTTTGCTGAGTCCACTCCCCCCAAAAACACACTTCCCCCTTCTACCTTGGACGAAAACACACCCTCCTTGTTCCTCCTCCCTCAGACTTCGTCTAACTGTTGCAACAATTCCTGCAACAGTTCCAATAGTGAACCATCCTGTTCCAACAGTCCGTCCAACAGTCCTATAACACAGCCAACACCTATCCTGCAGCACCACCTGTCGACCACAACCAGCTCACAACCCCTTCTCCTACTCCCCCACCTCCCCCACCTCCCCTTGCTCATCCTATGGTGACTCGCAGTAAAGTGGGCATCCACAAACCCAAAGTCCCTTTCTCTCTCGTTGCATCCTCTAGCTCTCCCATTCCCACCAACTATCGCCAAGCTCTTCTTGACCAAAATTGGCGAAACGCCATGATTGAGGAATATACTGCTTTAATTAAAAACAATACTTGGAATGTTGTGCCCCGCCCCCCGTCTACTAATGTTATTTCTGGTAAGTGGATATACAAACAGAAACTCAAGTCTGATGGCTCCCTTGAGCGATATAAAGCACGGTGGGTTGTTCGTGGGTTTCACCAGCAGGCTGGCATCGACTTTGACGAGACTTTCAGCCCAGTTGTCAAACCAGCCACTGTTCGAACAGTCCTCAGTATTGCTCTCTCGCGATCATGGCCAATCCACCAGCTTGACGTGAAAAATGCCTTCTTACATGGCAATCTCTCTGAAACTGTCTACTGCGAGCAACCTCCCGGATTCGTCGATCCATCTCGCCCCACTCACGTGTGTCGTCTCAACAAAGCACTCTACGGCCTCAAGCAGGCACCACGTGCTTGGTACAAGCGTTTTGCATCTCACATTACTACCATGGGGTTCAGAGAATGCAAGTCCGACACTTCACTCTTTGTGTACTGTCGCAACAGTTCATGCGCCTACCTTCTGTTGTATGTCGATGACATTGTACTTACGGCCTCCACACCAGAATTGCTCCGCTCTATCATCGCTGCCCTTAATCAAGAGTTCGCAATGAAGGATCTTGGCGATCTTCACTACTTTCTCGGCATCTCAGTCACTCGCTCGTCGAATGGGCTATTTCTCTCTCAACGCAAGTACGCCGACGAGATCCTAGAGCGTGCACACATGGCTTCCTGCAACCCTTGTCTTACGCCGGCTGACACAAAGAGCAAGTTGTCTTCCACCACTGGACCCCCCGTTGCTGACCCTACTCTTTATCGCAGCCTTGCCGGTGCACTGCAATACCTCACGTTTACTCGTCCTGACATCTGCTATGCTGTGCAACAAATATGTCTATTCATGCATGATCCGAGGGAACCTCATATGGCTGCCCTCAAGCGTATCCTTCGCTACATTCGTGGGACTCTCGATCACGGCCTTCAGCTCTCCCCCAATCCGGACCTCTCCCTTATCGCTTACTCCGACGCCGATTGGGGTGGCTGCCCTGACACTCGTCGTTCGACATCGGGCTATTGTGTTTTCCTCGGCAACAACCTCATTTCTTGGTCCTCCAAACGACAGGTCACTACCTCTCGATCGAGTGCGGAGGCCGAATACCGAGCTGTCGCAAATGCCGTCGCCGAAACGACTTGGTTACGCAACCTACTTTCTGAG